AATGCAGTTCAGCATATATACCGAAGATGATTTTTCCAATTATAAACCTATTTAGAAGGCGGATACATTAGAAATGATGAAATGTGAAGCTGCAGATGAGGTGAGCAGGCTGGAATGTGCGTGCACCCCCGGATACGTGCTATCGCACCGGAGAGAGGAGAGCGCTCTGCAAAACAGTTATATATGCATAATTAGTTTAATCTGAAATTAATGCTAATTTCAGCAATTTGCGATGCAGATTCACTATTAGTACTCCAGTCCACTTCCACCCTATTGAGAAGCTGAGGATGCAAAGCCTTAATGAATTCCAGGAGGCTCAGGCCGAGCTGAGCCCCTGTGCCCATTTCAGGGGTTTCTGTGACCCCCCCGTGTGTTGCTTTGGCCCCGGCTCTGCCTCCTGCTTTCAGAGCCCTGCTCAGTTAGAAAGTTGTCCTGTCACAAGCAAAGATGTGATGCCACACACAATATCCCGGCATTCCTGACTCTGCTGCCTCCTGCATCTGCCCAGGTCCTTTTTAACTGCACCTTTGGACAGCCCGGGTTCAGAGCACACGTGTTTTAATTGCAATTAAACCTGCCAGCGACACGCTCAGCCTCCTCTGCGCTACCTGGATGGAAGTGCTCATCGTCCCCACCTCCCACACCAGGGGCTCTTCACCCAAACTGGGGGGGAACACCAAAAGAAAACCCAGCAGGGTGGGTAAGGAACAGCAGGGAAGTGACACTCAAAGCCATTACCCCGGAGTCAAATACGTAACTCCTGGGTTCAGCACAGGGTGGGCCTTGGCTGGGCTGGAAAGGGCAGCGGATACTTGTTGCTTGAGGCGTTGAAATTCTGGGAATTCTGCAAAATATTTCATTGGCTTAAGTTCCCCTTTATTCATTTTTAATAGTTGTGATGATAAAACAGTTACAGTGTGGGCAAAAAAACAAACCAGGAAGACTAAGACCGGTGTTGGTAGGTGAGCATCAGGGATGTTAATGGGCACAGACCTGGAGGCTCTGACTTTGCAGTCGGTTGGTTTTAGCTCACATAGATTTTTCTTTTCCAGAGGCTGTATTTTCAGCCTGTTGTTTAGAGGAGTTTTACCTGATACACCCCAAACCCATAAAACTCCAACCTTGCAAAAAAGCAGGCATAAAATCAGCAGCCTTGTCTTCCTAAAGCAAGGTTGTTTTTTTTCCTGCTTCTGTACCACCTGAAATGTTTGCTCAGTTTCCAAACACAAAGGCGAATGTATTTTTCAAAAGCCAAGCCAATAAAGGGATTGTAACCTTGAATGACTCCTCACAGTAGTAGTCACATGCGGTTTGATTAACTGCAGCACTAACGGAGTATACAAACAAAGCAATTCTGCCCCTACTTACAATTAATGGACTTTATAACCAGCATTAGATCTCCCTTTCCCCTGTCGATTCCTTCTGCAGCGAGAGAGAGACACCTTCAGTATACAAAAGCTCCAAAAACATTTAATATCTACCTTTTGCAGAGTCCTGCAATAGCGAGTGATAGATATATTGTACTGCCAATGGAAACCAAAGAGGCGAAGCTGGAAGTATTGCGGTTTCTGAGTGACCTCTTGGAGTCATTCATAAAACATGGGTTTGTGATTGATTCGCACAAATCGCTTCCTCTTAACCCAAAGGCGGCCGTTCCCACCCCAGGCCAAGAGGGGATGGAGCTGGTGTCTGAGGGACCCGGCCCTGAACCCCTCCAGGGGCTCCCTCTCGCTGCTCCTGGGGGTCCCCCATTGCAGGCAAACTCCAGAGAGCAGATTCCAAAGTTACTCACAGGAAAAGAGAAAGATCCTCAGTGACTTCCATGGGAGGGACTTCAGGCTGGGAACTCCTAGCTTTTGGAATATTTGTTTTACTATTTTATTTTTTTTACAATAAGTGGTTTTCTTAGATACATTAATGTTTTTGTAAAATTGTAGGGTTTTTTTTTTTGGTTAAAGATATGCGGATTTATTTTCTGAGCTAAACGAGAAACTTTGCTTTAAAAAAACCTTTAATTTTTAAAAGAGAAACACTTCAGTTGGCTCAGTTCCTTGTGCCCCTGATCACTAGTCATCTTTAATATTTATTAAAGAGCACTGTGTACTTCATTAAGTACTTTTTAACCCTTTGTTGCAGTGCCTGTAACAAGGCCAGGCGTGGGGGGTGATGGTGGGGAATGTCACATCAGATGTTAGAACATGGCTCACCGGGGGGAACCAGGAGCTGGTGGGTGCTGGTGCCCTGTCTCTGACTGCAGCTTCTGGGGGGGTTCAGGGAGAAATAGGGGTCTCCTCCTGCGCCTCTGCAGCCGTTTGCAGTGAGAGTTTGGGGGACTTTCCAGTTAATGTCAGTTTTCTCAGAACTCGTGTGTGAATGTGCCTGGGCCTGGCAATTTGTTGTGCTCTAAAATCTCTTTTATTGGTGATTCGGTGCCTGATTTAGGCAGAAGGTGTCCCTGGTGTAGTAAAATCCTGGAATTAGTGAATACTTTTGTGTGTGTATCTTTCAAGAGCCCCATCGTGTTTGGCTAGCGTGTTTGCAATCCTCTGGCCATTAACCATTCAGCTAATTGCCCGTGCTCCGTGGCTCTGTGGGTCCATGCAGAGCTCGGAGCAGAGCAGGACCACACGCTCCGTGGCTCCCACCCTGATGGAGCCCTGCCTTGGGACTCCTCGCTTGGCTGAGGAGGGAGGATGTGCAGGTTAGAGCAGGCATTGGAGCCTTTGCTTCCAGCTGGTCCCAGTCCCGTCGTGGTTATCTAAGAGTTGAAAATTGGTGGGGCTGTACCAGCACAGACAAGTCGACGGCAAACAGCCACTTCCCCGGTGTTGGAGAGAGAAATGGTGCTTCCAGCACCAACGGCAGCTTCTCCCCTCTGCTGGGGCTCTCCTGGGTGCCCGGGCTGAACCCGAGTCCATCATGGTGAGCAGCCTTCATTCATCCATCCCCACCGTGCTCATCCAGATCTTACTGGGTCCAAACCCGCGTGTCTCACCACGACATCTCTGGGGCATGTGGATGGGGTGAGAAGAGGACTGTGGGGTGAGCCCGTGGCAAGCTGGGGGCACGTTGGTGCCTCGTGCCATGGGTGGAAGAAATCCCCTGTTGGGGCACGCCGGGGCGGGAGGGATCGCGGGGGCGGCGCGTCGCTTCTGCTCCTTGGCTGAGGGCAACGCGTACAACAAAGCCATCGAACCGTCTCTTCAGGAAAGCGGAGATTGTAAAAGCAGACTTAATTTTGTGCTTCACTTTTGTACCAAAGAGCTGATTTCTGAAACCATTTCCCAGCTCGCAACACATCTCTAGGCATTAAAATGTTGTGAATTTGCTTGTCATTACCAATATTTTCTTTGACTGAAGCTATTGAAACAAAGTAGTCGCCTTTTCTTTTTTTTCTTCAACCTTCAATCTTGCTTCTAAAAGAAGTAGGTCTCTTTTTCTTTCCTCCTTGGTCAAATATAAAAATGATGATAATTTCAAATATTGCTTTAGAATAATTGCTTTCCTCTCTCTTTTGTATGACAACAGAAGCTTGGCCTGATCTTAAATCAGATGCTGGCAGGCAGAGGGCTCTTGACAGCCCTGCAAAATCCTTTAGTTACAAGTCGGCTTTAGCCAATTCTTTATTTGTAAATGACAATTTTCTACAGAAAAATATATGCTTGGGCTTCAATTTTGGAGTCCTAGATTGCAGCCAGGAAAAAATAATTGAATTTTTACACTGTTTTTTTTTCCCCCTCTCTTTTCTTCCTAACTTAAAAAAAAAACCACCACTAAAGTGCAGCTCTGCAAAGCCTGGTTCGGGGCCGATTGAGGGAAATATCTGCCCTGGTTAGTTTGAATGGCACTGGAGGCGGGAGGGATGTTTAATTTGTTCTGCCCTGGGAGAATTTGGGGTTACTCCAGGGTTCTTGTTGGGTGTCTGGGCTCTGCACAGGCTTTGAGCTTGTCCCCATAGCACAGTCCCACTGGGTTTCTTGAGTTAACATGCAACATTGACATCAAAGCACCTCTTCTTGGCAGGGCTAATTAGTTGTTGTCTCCAGTGTAAGGACATTGCCTGCTGTAAGCTGGGGTGTTTCCCTCTGCCCAACCTCATGGGGATGATGTTCCTGCTCCGGGCATGATGACAGCATTGTCCATGGTTTAAGGTGGCCCTCAAGGCTCAGGTGGTTTGGGATGGGCCACCAAAGACACCATCTTCCCCTGTCACCATTGTGGTTTGTGTCCCTGGGCTGAATCCTGCCGTTCTGTGGGTTATGGGTAATGGGTTATCTAATAGTGCCTTCTCCAAAGTCCAGCATCATCCCATTACCTCGTATGGGTCAAACCTGGGGGGCTTTGGGTCTGGAAGAAGAGCTGGTAGTGCGTCGGGGTCTTTGGGAACACTGAGGGTGGGAGGGGGTTTCTGAAGGGCCTGACCCCCCCAGTGGATGGCAATACTGTGAGCATTTCAGCCAAAACCCGTTTTGTGGCAGCCAGAGGACCGCAGCGGTAGCTCTTGCTGTCTTTTGTCATTTGATTATTTTTAAAGTAACTGTACAAATTCCTTTTAAACTGATCCATGGAACCTTAATAGCACATCGCTTCGATTTGATGTAATTACCTTTTGTCTGCCAAAGAGCATGCACTCTGTCTTTGGGAAAAAAAAGGGGGGGATATGGCACGTCTTTTTGAGACAGTAGCTATGAGGATACGACACTTGGACTCCTCTTTCACTTATATTTGCATTGAGACGCACAATAAAAATCATTTATTAAAAAAAAATATCCGGGGGCTAGAGTTGTTATTGAGTGCCTTTACTCAGCCATTTCTCAAATAAAACCAAAACAAGGCAGAGAAAAAAAGAAGTATCTAATCAAATAGAATCTGAATTGCTTTTGTAAAGAAATATTCTCATTAACTGGGTTAGGGATGGCATCTGAAGAATATTTCTTTTCTCCACATACTGTTTGAAATAATCTGGTTAAACCTTTTGCTTGTCTTGTAATTTCTTACAGATGGTCACAAGAACAAAGAAAATATTTGTAGGTGGATTATCGGCTAACACGGTAGTGGAAGACGTAAAGCAATACTTTGAACAGTTTGGCAAGGTAAGTTCCTGCCCAAGTGAGCGCTACATATTTTGAATTCCTCTTCTTTTTTTTGTCCTTTCTTTCTAAAGTGTGTTTTGAAAAACAAAAGTGGAGTGAGGCCCATGTTCAAAGCAGGGCCACGTTTTTTGCCTTTCAGTGTAATTTCTCGAAGCCTCTGTAACCGCTTCTGGATTCCTTTTCCGTTTGTTGCATGTGTATGTGTACGACATTGCCGACACTGTTTACCTTCATTAGAGAAAAAAGAATCACGGGGAGGTGAATTTGTGTATGTTCAGGAAGAATTTGACCCTTAGCTGAATGATTACACAGTTGTCTACTCCATAAAATCAGCCTTCTGTTTACCCCTGGTTCCAGTGGCGAAAGGAGCAGACAGACCTATTTGAGAGAGCTCATTAAGTTGGGAAAATGCCTGAAGGAACCATATGAATAGCAAGAGTAATAGGGAAGTCACTAGAATATCTATTTAATTTCTTATTAAAAAGTCCTTATGCAAGTTCCTTTGGAAACATGTGTAGAATCCTGACATCATTAAAAAGAAAAACAACTTTATGTAAGGAAGGAAACCTGAACATTTCCAGCATTGTCTTCTCGGTGACGGAACAGCTCAGACCCCCTGGCTGCAGCTTAGTGCCACCATGGAGCTTCCATGGAGCTTCCTGCATCCCCAAGGCTCCTGGCTGCGTGGTTAGGAGTCTGAAGAGCTTGCAGAGCCATCTGCTTTGAGTGCAGTTTGTGATACCACCTTCCATGGAGACCCCAGTGTCCGTGGGGCTCTGTACAGCTCGATTCCTGTCCTTCAGAGGGCATCAGTTGATGATTTAGACACACGATTGCGTGAGGACACAGCAGGATGTCCCAAGCCAAGCAGCTCCCATTCCTCGTAGTTAGTTTATGTTTCTTTCATCTTCCCTGAAAAGCCTTGGCCAGGCAGTATTTTGTTGAGGGCTGAAGGAGGGGAGTTTATAAATTGTTCCTGTGCTGGATTGATAGTTGTTTTGCAAACCATTCATTTTATTTTCAATAATAATCTTCGATTCCGGCAGGATGTTTACAGCCTGCTGAGCCTTTTATTAAAGGATTACATGAGCTTTTGGATGTTTCTTCTGTAGTTACTTCTAATTGCAGAACTCTTCTAACCTGTATTTTTGAAGTTAATAATAGTTTCAATATAAGCACTTTGCATATTGTCTGGATGCTGTCTTAATATAGCCTTTTTAATTTCACCATCTGGTAGTTTCATGCTTGCAATTTTACAGTCCCTGAGAATGCAGACAACCAGGCTGCATTTTTCAGTAGTGACTAGCGATTCGGGACGCTTCAGTTCCTGCTTCCGTGCTCTGCCTGTCTTGAGACAGTTTAAAAGAGCTCTGGCTTCCCAAAGGCAGTACTTCTGGAAAATCAGATATTTTTTTTTTTTTTTTCCAAGTGTCTTAATTTGAAGGCTAAAAAATTAAGGCACTGAAAATATTTGCTGGCCGTAGGGGCTACGTCCTGCTGAGGCTGCAAGGTCCCGTCGTTAGAGCTCAGCTCCTGTACGACTCAGGCTCGCGACGCTCGGTGACCTTTTCTAGTTGCTCCCCTGTTTCATGCTTCCCTGTTCTAGCTTGCCAAAAGGAGATGAGTTTGGTGAAGTCGGTGGTGTTCTGGAGGAGAGCCTTTGTGGCTGTGTCACCGTGACTCAACCTGCGTGCTGCCGTTCCAGGTCTCTCCACCACACTTTGCTGCTCATCAGCTGGGACAGTTTGGTTTGTGGGGTGTTTTGAGGTGATGCTCTCCAGGGCTCTGGCTGGGAGAAGATGACTCCAGGAAATGGAGAGTTGTGGTCCAGCTAAATTAGAAGACTCGTTAGTCCACTGCAGTGGGTGGGATGCTGTGTTCAGATACAGTGACCCAGCTCTGGGGCCCTGTAGGAGCTGCTTCCCTCTCCTCCTCGATTCCTCCTCCCCACTTCTCCTTGACTTCCTCGCTCAGGTTGCGAGCTCTTTGGGGCAGGGACTGGTGGCACATCTGTCCCCTGCTTGGCACACAAGCCCTTGCTCTCCAGTCCAGCCATTACGGTGCAAACAATGCATCGAGATCGATTGGCAGGGTTTATATTTGCTTAGCGCTTTCTTAAAATAAAGAAAATTGCATTGCATAATTAACGTGCAGAGGAGCCGCCCATATTTGATAAGAGCATCTCAGGTGACTTGCTCTTTGAAATGCTGAGCTTACTTATTGGTGTGGAAAAAATTGCTTACCTACTGCTGTGATTCTTGAAATCCTGTTTGTACTTGCTGCAGAGAAGAGCTTTGCAACCAGGGGAGGTTGTTTTGGTAACTGGAGGTAGCTCTCAAAATACATGACGTGGTTAGAACAAGACCAGCTCTGGGGCCGGGCGGACTCGCTCGCTGACCCGCAGTTGGCAGCAAAGGGCCTGAAGTATTGAATTTGAAACTGCAGCTTTTTGAAAAGTAAATGCCGGAACCTTTTTCTCCAACAAAAAGGCGATTGCTTTAATAAACCCTCTTCCCCGACTTCACCCGTGAAAATGCCTGCCCGTTAGAGCACCAAAGTACGTGGTAATGATAACTCCTGAGACTTAGATTGTGAAATTCCTGATAGTGATTATTGTTTCTTTCTGTAAAGCCTGGGCTCTGTGTGAGCCCCAGCTTTCATTTTGCGGAGACGGGCATCCCTGGCTGCTGCAGCCTGTAGGGGAAGACTGGGAGAAATTACCTGGGTGAAGCCAAAAGGTTTAACAGAACGAGCACGAAGCCGTGGAATTACCAGCCTCGTGACTGCTGAATGCTTAGAGCTGGTGGTGCTCAGCCTGAACTCGTGCAGTTGTTGGGGGGCTCCCCAGAGAGGCTTGGTTGGGGGTCAGGGTGCTGGGGAGGGGGCTCTCAGTGGGGTGCAAAGGGCAGGGAGCGGGGCTGAGGTGGCAGCTGGTGGGAGGAATATCTGGGCGAGAGTTTGGGGTCGAGTCTTCTCCTTCCAGTGCCTTCAGGGGGTGGGATCCACAGGAGAAATGTGAGGAGGATGATCCAGGAAAGTGAAACTCCAAACCAAGCCATAACCGTTTACAATCAGAAGAAAAAAATAATCCATTGTCTTACTACCTAGTGCTGACAGTCTGATGAAGTTGTTTCTGTGATCCTCTGTTGTTTCAAAGATGTTTCAAACATTCTTACAAACAAAACGAGTTTGTCGGCAGCGTTAACCCGTCCAGGGTCTGCAGCATTGTCCCCGTGCTGACATGTGAATAGCTGGCCGTGGAGACCAAGTTTTAAAAGAATTTGAATGGGGAAGCATTAGAAGTGCAGAGGTCTGAAGGGAAGGGTCTGTCCTCCTGCCCCTGGAGAGGCCACCAGCACCAGAGCCACCAGCAGGGCTCTGCCCGAGGACCTGACTGCTCTACCCCTTTCTGGAAGTGTGAGAGAAACAGTGCTGTCTGAGATCAGGACATATTGGAGCATTTAAGGCTTCTGGTATCATTTTAAAAAGGAAAAGACGGCCTCTTAAAGCCTCACCCAGAGGACGGTGACCAGCAGCAGAAAGCCCCCGGATGCCAATGAACTGCACTTCTCTCGGGATGTGCGTGTTCTGCACCTTTTAAGCTGCAAGTGACTGATGATAAGGGGCTTCTTAGGGTTCATTTTTTACTAGGTAATGCTTCCTTTATGGAGCTCCTGTGAAAGTGGTGTAGTCCTTATTTTGCGACTTGCAATTATACTTCACATGGCGAACTGTGTAATTAGTTTGGAAGACTTATGCCTAGTCATTGGTTTATCCTAATCGGCTTTGGCTTTTCCCAACAACAAAGTGAGCTTATTTTCCTAAGCTGAAACAACTCTGCTCCCTTTGTTCCTCTCTCTTATTGTCTCATTCCTTTCATTCTGTTTTACTGCCAAAGTTTTGTTTCATTAGGCCTACAAGTCATTTCCAATCCAGTGGGCTGCTACAATAAGGCCTTTATGGCTCAGCTGCCCTGGTTCCCATGTCCCTTCTGGTCCCCAGCCAGGACTTGCTGTTTGACATGGGATTTTAACCCTTTCAGTGCCCTGGCGTTGAGTCCAGCTTGGTGGGGTGCGACCAGGCCCAAGGTGTGGGTTGGAGGCATTCAAAATGGAGACATTCCAAACCTGCCTGGACACGTTCCTGTGGGACCTGCTCTGGGTGGCCCTGCTCTGGCAGGGGGTTAGACTGGATGATCTCCAGAGGTCCCTTCCAACCCCATGAGATTCTGTGATTCCTGGAGAAGCTGATGGATCCAAACGATTGCGTGTGCTCAGTAATTGACACATTAATGGGATTGGGCTCCAGGTCTAAAATTGACACATTAATGGGATTGGGCTCCAGGTGTGCACTTTTAGACCCAATCATTGAAACAGAATTCTGAGTAAAAATCTTCTTACTAGAATTCTGTATCAGTCTTGGTGGGAACAGCCCTTTGAATGAAGAAGCTGCTGTGTCCTTCCAGCCCCTTTCCAGCGGGATGGGAGCAGAGGGATGGAAGAAGTACATTCCAGTTGTCTTGAGTGATTGGATCAGCCCATGTATGACTGTAGAAAAATAATGTTTTCTTGTGTGGGAGAGGATACATTTAAATTTAGACTTTTTTTGGAAAAGAATGGTGTTTTTTAAAGGAGATGTGTGAAATAGTTTTGTGGACAAACAATATTTTTGCATATTGTTATTTCAAACTGCTAGAAAAGCAGTGCTGGTGTTGGTGGCCCCAGCTGATGAAAATCTCTATTGGCTCTACATTTTTTCTTTCTTTTTTTTTTTCCTAAAATGACTCTTAGGGAAGGGGGCTATTGCATTTGCTTTTTATTTTAAATTTTCAGATGAAATTGGAACAGACCAGTATGTATTAATTCTGTTTTCTGTTCTGGCTTGCCACGAGGTCCCCCAGACAAATTGTAGGCATGTTTCAGCTTTTGCTTGGAATATGTTGTTTCCTCAGGAATGGCTTTTAAGGTTTGGAAATTTTGAAATAAGACAGAGTTTCTGAA